CGTATTATCTTTCTCCTTCATAAATAAACTTTCATTTTTATTTCATTCAACTGCATGATAATAGATACATCCTATTTTCGTGCCCCAGGAATTCTTGATGAAAATAGTCCTGGGCATTATATGGCAAGCGTTGCTAATGGTGAAAAATGGCTGATTATGGATGATTTATTGCCTAATAAAATCGATGAAGTATCAACATTTCATGGAATAAGTCCTCATTTATCTATATACGTAAAATAGGAAGGAATTACAGAATTGAATTAATGTAATACCCAATAAATTTGTGCAAAATCGAATGATTAATTACAAATCATCTCATTCTGGAAATGTCATTACTTCCGGTTTCAACGCAATACTAATGAATCACCTAGAACAAAAAATTCCATAAAAATTCCTGTATAAAAATGAACTAATTTCACTATAAATATAAATAAAAGAATTTAGCACTGATATACTCGGGTATAATAATTTTAGAATTAATCCAAAATGACTAGTCAGCGAATTTATGTTTCTGAAATGTAGGTCCAGAGACATTGAAAGCTCCGAAACTAATGGTTCGATTTCAATTTCCGACTCAATGATCTGCTCAAGCTTCAATATCTTAAGACCCTCATAATCCCCAAAATCCTCATGACCTTATTTAAAATTCTGTTCTCTATTAATTTTTTTTAATTTACAATGAATAAAAAAATCTAAGCTAGGTTGAGGATCGGAATTTTTAGTTAATGAACATAAGAATTCGGCGGAATAGAAAAAAAAATTAATCGAGAAAATGTTACGATTATTGTCTTCACCTTCGATAGATTTTTTAACTTTTCATTTATATGATTCACATATTTTTTTTTAAATTATGGCGAAAGAACCGATTTTTCGAAAAAATTAGAAAAAAAATGGATGAATGAATTTAATTTTTATTGACGGCGATGGATACGACCCAGTGAGACCTACATTGACAAAAAACGATTTTATTAGGTAGATATGAGAGCAAGCGATCGAAGAAAGTCAATGGAAAAATACCACATACACACGGACATACATATGTAAACATACGTCCGGCTGCGGTTTAAAAACTGCATCTTCGATCTGCTTGGATCATACTGAGTTGATATATGACAAAAAATGGGCGACTTAAATTTGGTGGATTCCAAAGCTTCAGAGCATGAAGTAACTTGTGAATATTAAGAAAATCGGAAAAATCGGTAAAGCTGACTTTCCGTAAAAATCGCTAAACTATCTCGAAAAGTTACTAAAAAAAACGCAGTAGGGCAACAGAACGTGACATAAGTTGTTGCAATGAATAAAATCGGAAAAATCGGTAAAGGTGACCTGCGGTGTGGGGGGTTAAAGGGTGGAAAAGGGAACTAAATCCATGTGGAAAAGGTGTCTTTTTATACAACAGTCATAGGGACCCTATACGTAGTTACTAGTGGTACACTACACACGCGTCAACGGTTTTATAACAGGCGCTGATAATCTTCGCTATCGGTCTGTAATCTCCCCGATCAGTTGATTTCAGATGCTTCAGATGAAACTTCTGAAAACGAAGGATTAACCTTCTTCGGTTATCATCAATTTTGTTTCCGAGGCCATGAAATGGCCAGATGCTGTTTGTATTGGATTTTACGTGAAGAATATTCATGCGAATTACGATAAAATGATATTGTTGATGACGTGATGCAATTTATAAGTGTTAATCCCGTGTCAATTATTATTGAATATAATGGAGTGCCGTCCAGACGTGCATGGTGTCAATTTCAAGTGGAAAGGGTAAGTGATTTGTTGTGGGTGATATTAAATCATACACACTTTGTTAAAACAATGATTTTAGTGATAAAAAAGGGCTCCTCGCAGGTTTTAGGGCAGTTTTTTGATGTTTTTCATTTAAAGGTTACCCTATCGTTTGTGAGGTTAACCAAATAGTTGGAAGGTACACATAGGATATTCCGAGTGAACGGATACATCGCAAAACCCTTATCATAATCCAATTTCTAATAAAATTGTTCTTTTTTTCGATATAATTTGAGAGGACTGCTTAACCCTTTTTTAAGAATTTTCACCGAAAATTGATATTCACGAATAATTTTGAATGTTTCTCATTTGAACGACTGGTATTCTTTTGACAGTGTGATAAGAGAGAGTCTTCAAGATAAGCTCGTATCATCCTTTTTTAAATGGGCCTCGCACCGTTTTTAACTCATTCGGCTGTACAAATGTTTAGATAAGAACTTCAGAATCTAATGTTTTTTTGTCAGACCGAAATTCGACAAAATGTTATTTCTCAAACGGTTGTCTATCGAGTTGGTATAAAAACGCTGGAATCAAACAACTGCATTCGAAAATCAATCGTCGTAGTTTCACATAAATGTCTTCAAAAAAATGGCAATTTTTTTATTAGCATTTGCATTTTTAGTCTTAATGTTCCTCATAACCTCGTAATTATTTAATGCTGGCCTAATTTTTTTTCCTTGTTTGTAACATTCGGGTATCAGAATCATCTGATTATGAGATCATTATGACCGCTTATTTCTCTGAAAGTCTTTATGATCAGCAATAGTTTTTCAAATTTTCTGTGAATTTTTGTCACAAGTTATTGTTTATAATATTTTCTTTAACAATACAAAATAAACTTGTAATCAGCTTCAAATTCCCGTTATCTCAATTATAATTACATGCATTTTCATTCTTTATTTCGATACTCGATATTTAATAAAAATTGTTATTGATGTCTGTTTTCGTCTAGTTGTCTAATGGTATTACAAAATCATTTGCAGAGTACTTTTACTCCCGATGGAATTACCACCAGCTGCCACGGGAAATCCAATACATAACGCGCGTGGAAAAATGTCCTTCATACGTCGTTTGGGTCTTGGCTGCATCGTCCTAGCTTTTTTGGGTCTTCTATACGTGCCAGCATATCATTCAGCCCAAGGACCACTTGGAATAGGTGAGGTAACATCTCCCTCTGGACCTTCGTGGCTTTCACGCTACTTAGAACCCGTAGGTATGCATTCGAAAAGTTCTCCATAATGCCATAATGTAAGAATTTTAATCTCAATCCACTTGAGTCAAGTCCCAAGTCTCGGAAAATACCTACTAAGGGCTTTCCATTTTAAAAAATGACGACATTGTTTCGAAATCTTTGAATAATATTGCAGTTCATTATAGCTATTGACTTCTATATGAAATTTTCAAAGAATCTTTTGAGATTTCTTTTCCAAATTATAAATACTCAAATGTCTAATGAATCCACGCTAATTCATACTAATTTTATTATTAGCATGATACTTCTCCTTTAACAGAGATGAAAAATGAATATTTTCAAATATCTTTGATGTTTAATGATCTGGAAACAAAATTTCCAGGAATTCTTGACTGAGTTTTTTATAATACGAAACCACTTTCACAAAATGAACTCCAAATACGACTTTCCTCATGACTAATCTACAATATGAGCTTTTAAATACCGATTCATTTCCTAAAGTGCTTTACCGGTATTTTGGAAGAAACCAAGTCACAACACTTGATTCATTGGGAACAAGAAACAGTGCACAATCTAAGAATATAATTTACCTTACTCTTATTCACGCTCAACTGGAATTATATTAAATAGTAGTTATATTGCCATTTTCTCTGCAACCAAATACGATTATTCTTAATTTTTTCAAGAACGCTTATTCCATGCTGTACTTTACTCAATATTAACATCTTGCAGCGTGACATTCTCTGTTTCTCAATTTTTTATGAACATTCTTAGCATTTTCCATTAATAAATAATCTTCGGCGAATGACGACTTTTATAATGCAATTTGATTAATGGACTGATAGTACAGGTAATCGGCATGTTCAGTCTTTCAAGTGAATATTTCATAGTTCTGCGGTAACATCTATGTTGAATTCTATTTTGTTGAATTATTACAGCAGAATTACATGGTTGGACGTTCAATACATCCAGAAATTTGAACTCATACATCCATCCGCAGGATAACACAACAGTCCTGAGTCCTGATGATAGTTGCACGTTATCAGCATCGCCATACCTGTTAATTGTCGTTTGTTCAGCGGTGGATCATCAGAAGCAAAGAATTGCCATTAGAGATACATGGGCCAGCGCGACGGACATGAGTTTTTACAATTCGACTTCTGTTAAAGTTCTATTTTTACTGGGACAGAGTGAAAATGAGACACTCAATGTAAGTGTTGTTTTGAATTACTTCCTCATTGTCATTTTTTGAATAATTAATAAGCGTCTGGCCTCACTGTTGTTATCTTGTCAACACAAGAAGTGTACGTACGATTTTTGGGAATTTATCACGTTTGCTCTGGCGTTCTCGGAACTTCAAGAACTGAGCCTTTATTTCAGCCTCTTCACCTGGAGCTTTATCCGATCATGTTTTGGAATCTATGCAATCGAATCGAATACTAGTTCGCGATCACTTGTACCCGTAGCCAACTCTATTTTCTAAATAATAAACACCATTTCATTCAATGTTTTTATTATTACTGTGACGGAAATGCTTGACAGTAAATGAGTCCGGATCGGTCCAATGTGTCACAGATGTCAGTTATCAGTTTTAGTTAACAGTTATCTGAAGATTAAGGGTGGTCTACATCCATATGCAGCCAAAATTAATTTTTTTTTTCGACAAACTTACTATGGGATTGCCATGGCTGAGTCAGCCTGAGCAAAAAACTCGAAATTTAATCGAAATTTAGTGGAAAATGATCGATGAATCGACTAATTAATTGATTATATAATTTGAGCTAACGGTATAATGACCTCTTTCTAATGCCGCATGCATTATTTTGCAGAATTTGGTCTTAGAAGAGAACCAGGAGTATGGCGATATCATTCAAGAGAGATTCATCGATGCTTACAATAATTTGACTATAAAATCAGTAATGCTGTTGAAATGGGTTACAACGAATTGTCCACAAGCAACTTATCTGATGAAAACCGACGATGACATGTACATAAATGTTGATAATCTCATCAAAGCTCTGAAATCAAGACAACGGAGTAGTGATACTCTTATAGGATCATTGATCTGTAATGCACGTCCAATATTGGATCCAAAAAATAAATGGTAATGTAACTACTTACTGCTTCAAGTTTGTTTGCTGTCAGAATAGATTATTTTTTTAAAGGGAAGAAGAAACGTTATATTGTAAAAGAAATTCGAAGTTTCTAATGAAATATGTTTGTAACAGGTACACGCCGAAATACATGTTCTCGGAGAAGACATACCCCAATTATTTATCAGGGACTGGTTACGTAATGAGTTTAGATGTTGCTGTTAAATTGTACGAATCAGCATTATCCACACCTCTTCTTCATCTCGAGGATGTTTACATAACAGGGCTGTGCGCGAGAAGGGCGAAATTAAGACCAGTCGATCATCCTGGTTTCAGTTATGCTCAACGTAAATTGGATTTCTGTGTGTTGAAAAGCGCCATTACTGCACACCGAGTAGATACTTCCACAATGCACACTATCTGGAATAAACTTAAGAATAGCAATATTACGTGTCAGGAGAAAAAAGTTACTGTACAGCACAGGCATGGTCGAAACTTTGGATATTTTTCAGTTAAAAAAAGAAGTACGAATAATCGTTGTGTGTGAAAAACACAATAAGCTGAGCAGACTTCCAAATTCCATGATTCTTAGCAAGTACTGTATAAGAAAATATAACGGTCGTGTACATAGTGATTAGGTTGAGAATGAACATTTGTTTTCTAGAGTTGATAATAAAAAAGCTAGGGATCGTTAAGAACAAGAAGATAAAATATTTTTTTCCAAAACAATTATATTTTTCATTCCATAATCGTATGTAAGAGATCAATTGTCAATTAGGTGTTAGGCTTTTTCTGTAAAGTACTTACGGTAAGAAGGAATTTGTATGAAAAGCCCGTTGAGGTGCTGGTTAATTCAACTATTTCTACCAGTATTTTTTGCCTCTTGACAAAAAACTGATACTAGTGATAAATAGAAATTAGAAAAATTATATTATTAGTTAGGAACGAATTGACATGAATATTAAAAGTTTTCCCCCGATTCGATACAAAAGTATTTTAGTCTGAAACAACAGTACATACTGACATAGAGATTATGTTCTTTAGTTCATCACTAGTCTGTTATCTACGTGACGATTGATAATTGATTTGTATAAGAAATCCTGTTCCAGTACAGTTGTTAATGGTGCTATGGAGAATTGGAGTGTATACAGTGTAAAAGGTTTATTGTGATCAGATTTTTTGCGCTTCCATTCAGAGACAAAAATGGCAGCTTTGCACCTCCAAACATTGTACAACTAACATATTAGTGACTAATAACAAGTCGATTAAGCTGCTGGATTCTTCCCATTTAATTCTGGCCAAGGGAAGATGAATATTTAATATCACATAGTACAACTCGACTGTTACCTTTCCTAATATCAAAATTTCAACGGGGTAATACATTTCATACTCTTATCATTCTCTATCACGGGAAAGATGTCATTCCGACCCTGGGAGAGAGAGTGATATGGTTTTCAATTGAGGCATGAATTCTGAGGTACCGTTTCAAGTACTTCCGCAGTTAATTATGCTTGGGATTAATTTGGCAATATGTCAGAGACCTCATGTTTGAACTATCTATTGTTGGATGTGATGAAAGAGTATTATAAAATTTTCAAACTTTTACCACGTCATTTGCCAGGTATACAATGCTAAACAAACTGAAAAAAAAATTAAGTTTCGATATTTAACGATGTATATTTCGAACACGATGTGGCTAAAGTCCTTGAAATTTCGAGAATAATTTCTGTATGTACCTAACAACAGATCCTCTGAATTTGGTGTTTCTAGAGTATTGGGAAATTTTTCGAAAACACCATTAATGGCGGAAGTTCCTTCAAGGTATTCAAAAGTTCAAGCTGAATTTTTTTTTCCCGTAAATTAATAATAGTGTTAATTGATTAATTGTTGTACCTCTGACTTCAGTGATAAGTCGACTTGTTATTCGTCATTATTCCATTACTGGTTTGCTTTAGAATATAGCGAATTATCGCGGCTCAAGTCTATCAATATAAATATTTACTATCCAAGTTGACTGATCTTTTAAATTTGAATCTCTTGAATTCCTTTAAATCTAAACTGATCGTTTGATCTTCCTTGCCGAAGCCTTTTTTCCATACTATTTAATGCAGTCCGGGTCCAAGATGAGAATGAGCTAATCGAGATTATCGGCTAAGGCTCGGTTGTACTATCGATGGAACATAATCGTTGTTTCTTATTTTATCCTGCTGGTCAAGAATATTTCTAAATTTAGGTTTCAAATTGTGTTTCGAAAACCACGCCAATGACTATAAAACAATAATGGTAAAATAAAAAAAGAGCAAAAATTGTTGAACGGGGAAAATGGAAATATTAATTTCAAGGGACCTGCCAAGTTTACAGAAAAATAATTAAATACACGCAGCTTACCAGCTACCATGATGGGGGAAATTAATATATTTGACAGTCAATAACAATATAGAATCAAAATGGACTATTAAATATTACCGACGGTAAACTACGTAATTTATCGTAAACTTGACCGATCGTTTGAAATCAATATCTCGACTTACTCCTCTTCAACAATTTTTCCTCTCTTTTATAATTATTTTTTATAACCACTGGATGGGTCTCAGCACTACAATTTGAAACACAGATTTCGAATATTTACATTGAGGCTCGGGTGGATTATCTAGAAAAGATAATTCACTCCGAAATTCGGATTCCTAATTACTTTGGCAATTAATCGTTTTTTTCAATAATTGTTAGCTAGCGTTCTAGCGGTTGTCAACAACTAGGCCGTTAGATAACAATTATCGGAAAAAACGATTAATTGACGGAGTAATTAGAAGTCCCAATTTTGGAATAAATTATCTTTTCCAGACAGTCCATCCGGGCCTTAACTAATATTACAACTTCATAATATTTTACACTAACAAGATGAAGTACAAACCAAAAATTATGGCCGATACATAGTACACGCACGCCTTAACGAAGGATATGCATGACTTCCGATCATCAAAGTACGCCCTTTTAATATGGACGACTACGGATATTTAGAAATCTTTCCTTATAACACATTCCTAAGTTCTTATAAGTTCATAAAAAAATATGTTCTCCGATTAGACACGTACAGTATACAGCTGGAGGTGAAACAAACCCTTAAGTCCTTTTCCAATAAGGGAAGGTGGTTAAATTTATAATGAAAACATGCCAGGTTTAACAGGAAAAGGACTATGGACTTATTTCTTAGTAGCTAGTTTTATCTGTTATATCATCTTGCACATTTGCACTATTACCCATCCTCAGTTTTCTATGCGAAAACATATTTTGATTGCCGCTTGAGTAAATGAGAATTCTAGCTAAGGATCATATTTTGCAATTCACTCGAAACAGTATGGAGATATGAGGCAATATCCAATTTTTTCAATATATAGGTATGCTCGAGCCACGCTAACAGAAGATATTGAGGATGTTTTGCCCTGTTTTAGCCCAAATCACCGGTTTTTGAGTTTTCTGACAAATCGTTGATAGGATTAACGCGAAAAAATCCACTGTTTTTGCATTTCATCATTATTAAACAATTCCCAAAAACTTATAAACGCGCAATAATTTCCTAGCGTTTTCTTTAAACTTTTCCAGCGTTCATCGAATTTCAGAAAAAACACGGGGACATTATTGCACGCTTATGGAAACGATCAACAATTCACGAGAAAAACTCAAAACGGTAATTCTTGCTAAAGCGGCCGGAATATCCTTAAATGCATTCGGGAAATATTCACCAAGATTTATAATGCATTTATTGAATTGTGTACATTTTTTGTATAAGTAAAGAATAATTAATTCTTTTGTATAAAAAATACTGCCTTTCCTTTTTTGAGAACCAAGATTAAAGTACTTCTGCTTTATATAGTTAAAGGATGAGTCTACATAATTAACTAATTGGATATATGGAAATACGATTGTGGTATTCTGATATTCTATTCTCTCATGGTATTTTGATGCAGATGACGAGAGGTATTGCATCTTTCCTAACGGATCTACTGCATCTACTGCATCTACTAATAGTGAAACCTGAATTTTTATCAAGTGGTGAATTTTGAACTGTTCTGTGATGCCATATTTCATTACACATATTGCATCCTAATGTATCTAACGTCATAGACCATTTTAATGCACTCTTACTTAATTGAAACTTTAAGTCTCAACTTAATTGAAACTTTAAGTCTCAACTTAATTGAAACTTTAAGTCTCAACTTAATTGAAACTTTAAGTCTCAACTTAATTGAAACTTTAAGT